TAATTTGCTGAGACATACCAGGTATAGTGGCCGTGTATCTCAAAAAGCTAGTGATGGGCCAGGTAGATAGCTCAGCAGCGCAGTGCCTGCCTGGCGCACACAAGGTCCTGAGTTCAACTCCTGATACAAAAAAGAAAAAAAAAACTCGTGATTTTTTTAATGTGGGAGAGACATCCACTACCCTTTTCTATAATTTAAATAGAGGATGGTAGACATTTCTTGACATCCCAAAACTATGGCAGCGGTGACCAAGGTAAATATTTTAAACAAGCTAGGAGTCAGCAAATCTAACACAGTAAAATCATGATTACATTATGAAAGAAAATGCACAAAAACCCATAAGAATTTTGAGATTTTTTTCCATTTGAAAGTAATTATAATTAAATTCACAAATATACTAATTTAAATACTGAATCCTTTTTTATCTTTAAAAAAACATTACAGGCATACACATATTTCTTTCCACTTGTCATTGCCCATTCATATCACGGTTTAAAATGGGGAAAATAGATTCATTCCCCTTAATCTGCAAGTCAGTAGATGTTTCTTTATAATTAACTTTAACAAAATTCTTACAAAATAGTGGTTAACAGTGATCTTGTTTATCCACAAACACCTTCAGAAGTGCATTTTGTTAACATTTCTATACTAAAACACAGGAAAACTGAACTTGAAAAGTTAAAAACTCCTTAATGTTTTTATTCCGGGTACTACTGCCACGATTTACAGGGTGATCTATCTGGTGCAATAAAAAGAAAAAGGCAAAGCTACAAAAGATCAAAGCTCAGGAATGTGCATCTAATTGACACCTACCTTGCATTAATCAATAGCTGTACTTTTGGCAAACTGTGACTGTGACAGTCCTGAACCAGAAGGATTTCCTATGTAAACTGCAGTAACTTTTCTGACGATGGATCATCGTTCCTGCTGTGGCAGATTTTTATGATTCCTCTGATGCATCTGGGACAAGTATGGCAAAGTAGCCTACAGCTTTCCTGATAAGTCCTTGCTCTCTCTCCTGCTAAGAACCGTAGCCCTTTTCTGTTGATTTTTTAAAACCTTCTGCTACCATGTCCACCACTTCCACCATCAGATCCTTAACCAGCACCAGAGGGGCTGCCAGAGCTTCTTTCACCAAAACTGCCCCACTTCATACATCTGTAATCTGATTGTTGTGGTCCAGTATAATTTCCAAAATCATAATTCCCCAAATCATTATAATTCCCAACACCGCCATAGTTACCACCACCAAAATTTCCTCCTTTATTGTAACCATCATATATTGTCCTCCTCCACCACCATATCCACCATCTTGGTTTCCATATCCTGATCCACCACAAACATGGCCTCTGGTACGGCTATAACCAGGACCACCACCATAGTTTCCACCATCACCTCCTCCATAACTATCTCTGCTGACACCTCCTCCAGCACTACAGCCTCCTTGTCCACCAAAGTTTCCACCACGACCAAAATTCCCTCCATTACCTCCTCCAAAGTTTCCTCCACCACCCATAAAGTTACCAGACCTGTCTCCACGACCTCTTTGTGATCCAGCAGACTGCATCTCTTGTTTAGCAAGGACCTTTCTCTCATCACAGTTATGTGCACTAATGGTGTGGTATTTCTGAGTCACAGTTTTACCCACTGTGTCATGATCATCAGAAGTTACAAAAACAAATCCTCTCTTTTTTCCTGTCTGCCTTTCTTCTATAACTTCTGTGGTTTCCATTGTATTTTTCAAAGTAGTCTCTCAAATTATATTCTTCTGTATCTTCTGTATCTTCTTGAATACTGCCAACAAAAATTTTCTTCACTCTTAGATTGGCACTAGACTTTATAGAATCCTCTCTAGAAACAGCTCTCTTTGGTTCCACCTTGTGTGGGTGAGCACACATTGCTGCATCTGCCTCTTCTACACAAGAGTAAGTTACAAAACCAAAGTCCTTGTATCGTCTCGTTTGGGGATCTCTCATTACCACACGATATGCGAGTGTGTCCAATTTGTCAGAATATTCTCTTAAACTATCATCTGTAGTTTCAAAGCCCAGACCACCAATACACAACTTCCTCAGTTGCCCTGGCTCCTTTGGATCATGCCCCTTGCCCCAACCCGGCAGGGGCGACAAGGGCCGGAGTCAGGCTGGAGCTGACCAGGCAGCAGTTTTACCTCCATTTTGAGATTAAGACTTCTTATGAACTAGATTCTTACATTCAGGTTTCTGATCCATTTTGAGTTAATCTCTGTATATCCTGCTATGTAATACACTCTGGTTACCCGTTGCTAAAGGCAGGATCAGTGCTGGATTCTTTCCCTTTCCTCACTAGTTTTTATAAGAAGGAGTTGGTTCTCTAGTCCTTGTATGATGTTTTCGTTGCAGTGACGCCATTTTTACTGAGATGCATGCCTGTATTCTGTCTGAGTGCTGAGCAGCCTTTTTGCTTGTCATAGACTTCAGTGGTTTCTCCTTTAGAATCTCCCGAGAACAGGTGGGAGAACAGCAATCACTAGGCCTATTTACAGGGCAGGAAGAGAGGCTTAAGAAGAAATGATTTGTTCCAGGACACACCTAATAAGTGGCAGGGGAAGGACTTGGGTCTGACCCTTCTCTTGTGCTCCTGCTCCATCCATGTACCACACAGCCAAAGCCCTGGGGTAGACTGGAACTTCAATTCTAGTCCTCGCTTTGTGACCTATGACCTGCAATAGCTTGTTTGTTCATTCTGGGCTGTAGTTACTTCTTTTGTGAAATCAGAAGGCTGGAAGAGCCAGTCCCAAAGAATGGAGCAAATTTCCTAAGGTTGCCTGCATTGAGAGACTGCCCAGGGTTTGCTGTATAGAGCAGGGCCCTGTCATACCTCCACTCAAGAGTGTCTGATTTTGGCGACACTTACCATCACAGGTAGGCATTCATCCAAAAAGCACTCTTTTTGCAAGGAGAGACTACCAAGGGTTAAGAGTGGTTGTCTGGGTTTTTAACTTTATACTGTTATATGATGTTTGAATCTAATTGTGAGTTTGTTACACTTAAATTACTTGACTTTCTAAAAAAAAGTGTTGTCTGTATTCAATTTAGAGAAGTATTTTTTCTTTAGTCTTTTTGTTTCTTATCCAGCTCTCACACTTTGTCTTTTTCTCTACCCATTTGTCTTGCAGAAACATGCCAAAGGCCAGGATTTGTTCGATCAGATTGTATACCACCTAGACCTTGTGGAAACAGACTACTTTGGCCTCCAGTTCCTCGACTCTGCCCAGGTCACAGTATGTATTGCTTTGATTCATTTTGGGACAGATTGGCTTTTCATGCTAATTGCAGTTCCACGGTTGCTAGAAATTGGTAGAGAAAAATAGGAATAAAACTGTGATATTGTTCCAGTAATGAGCATTGGCAGGTGGTGGTGGTGCTTGAGTGAAACGCATCCACAATACTTGTAGGACCCCCTGCCCCAGGCAGCCAATAACCAGAATTTATGCATGGGGTACACTAAAGAAATACTTCTAAACAGATAATGCATTATGGGCACGTGTCTAGGATAGGTAGGAAGGAGAAGAAATATTATAGAAATTCTTCCAGTGATGCTGCACCACCAGCCTCTCAGAGACTCTGGCTGGTAGAGCATGGGTTCTGTGAACACAGCCGAGTCCCAGCCAGGCTGCAGGGAGCAGTCAAAACAGGCCCCCTCCAGGAGGTGGGGTTAAGTCATCACAGGCTTCACCTGCTTTCCTGGACGCAGAACTGTTTACAGTGAGGACGCTAAAATGTGTGACCTCCACAAGTTCAAACCCACTCTTTTTGTAGCAGGAATGAATGATGTCATAGTCCTCCTTCCCAACAAGATCTAGCAGTGGATTTAAAAGATAATTTATTCGACAATTTAAAAATATTTATTGAGTGCCTATTATACCCTGGACCCTGTTCCAAGCACTGTGAATTAAGTGGTGAACATACCTATATAATATGACAGGTGATGAAAAGAGTAAACAAAATTAAGCAGAGGGAGAGATGGGCAGAGGAGGAGGGGGTTCCCCTTGAGATGGTGTGTTGAAGGGTGGGTCCCTGACACAGTGTTCCGTATAGACACCTAGAGCTGCCCACACCTGCTAATTACTGTTACTTCCTGGGGGACCACGTGCGATAAGTGTAAGATGAAGCTGCCCAGAACTGGTGCCCTGGAATTGAGTCTGCTGGAGAATCTCAGTGAGATGTTGGGACCTTAGGTGAGAGAGTGGAATCTGGACATAAATGGCCCCTGGCAGTGCCTTGGGCGGGGGGGGGGGGTGTCACTGGGTGTGTGTGTGTGTGTGTGTGTGTGTGTGTGCAGTGTGTTCCCCTATGCTGACACACCAGGATTTCCTGTTTGCCTCCAACAGATTCCCTTACCCCTACAACTGTCACCTCCTTGACGATATTGTCTGTTTTTCAGTTGGAGGCACTGGGCCCTGCGGAGGTACATCCCAGCTTTTCCCTTTTTGTCTCCCTATCCAGTGACCTGTCCTCTAACTTCATGGCTGTCCTTCACACCCCTCAGGGGCTCTGTGTCTTGGTTCTTTTCTTCCCCAAGGCAATCTCGGGATTCAAGTTGCTGACCTGTCTAAGTATTTCAGACACTATTTTGTCTTACATAGGCTGCTGCTTTTCTTTCCTCCTCTCTCTTTCTTTTTCCTCTCCACCCCTTTTCCCCCCTCCCCGCTTCTTCTTTTGTCTGTGTTTGGCACCAAGGACTGAACCCAGGGCCTTCATACTGAGCTACATCCCCAACCCTTTTTTATTCTTTATTTTGAAATGGGTCTTGCTAAGTTGCCCAGGCTAGGCTCAAACTTATAATCCTCCTGCTTCAGGCTCCCATAGTGCTTAAGCTTCATTTGCACAAACCTCATACAGATCCCCTCTGGGTCCTGGTATCATTCCCAGATCCCGATTTCTGACATTTGTCATTCCGTGATAAGTGCCCTTGAGGCCATCCATCTTCCCTCTGGTCTTGGCCCATAACGGTCCCATTCTATCTCATTTACTTCACCCGGCCTCCTCCCACCTGTGCCTTCCTTCCCACCTGCACCAAACCTCTGCTACCTCACCTAATTCCGCACGAAGGCTTCGGTTCTTACCGCCCCCACCACGGCACACAGGCCCGTCTGTTCCCTCTGCTGGCGCTCGCAGGCTGCCAAGTGTTGCTGGAGAGTCACGGCTGTGCCTCCTGGCACCAGCACAGCACACAGGTTCAGCCAAGTCCAAGCCCCAGAGCTGCGCTCCAAGCCTGGTCAGTCCCTCGCTGACGCCTGAGTGCCCACGGTTCCCTTTCTGATTGGTGAGCAGACGTGGAGTCTTGTCCCCATAGACTGTCCTGTAGCTGGCCTTACTTGCTGAGAAGACCAAGGTCATTTAGTGGCAACACCTTGAGTTTTCTTGCCTTGTTCCTCCAATTTCTCTTTCTGTCCATCTTGTCCCCATCTTACAGGAATCCGCCTGCATGTGCGTTTTCTTTCTGCACCTGCACTCACAGTCCTGTGTTCAGTTGCTCCCGGAGCTCCACGTTCAGAGGTTCTCTCTGTCTTCAGCATCTTCCAGCTGTCCAGCCTCTGACACTCTTCAGCCCCTTCTGTCTCCCCAAACTCTCCTCCATTCTGCCTTCTGTGTGTCACAAAACATGTGGTAGATTTGGCTTCGAAATATCTACCGCCCGCCAGGTAGAGGTGTCTGGCCTGGACCCTGTGCCTGCCTGCACCTCTGACTCCTCCAGTGGGCTCAGATAGGCCACTTTCTCTCCCTTGGCCTCATTTTTCTCATCCGTAAGAAAAGGGTTCTCTGTCCTCCCCAAGAACCCCTTTAATTCTCATGTCAGCGATTGAGTCTATGTGGGAGGCCTGTGTGCCTGGCCCGTGTCTCCGCTGGTTAGAAGCAGGGAGGGGTCCACCATTTCTGCCCTTCGAGCCGGTGTCTACTGCCCTGCTAGCACATCCTCATCCCCAGGTGAGCCTTCTGCAGCCACTTGGCTTCCCGGGAAGCCCTGGGTGTGACTCCATTATGACAGACTTGGGTATGAACTTGTGCTGACTTGGCTGGCAGGCTTTTGCACCTGCCACTGCCCTGTCGCTGTGCAGCAGGAGGGATGTTCACAACAGGCCAGACACCTGCAGGCATCCAGACTCAGCAGGTTCTGAGACTTGCTAGCGTCTTGCTTTATAGATGTGGAAGACTTTTTTCCCGCTGCAGAGGCAAGTGTGGGATCCTCATCACCTTTGAGCCAGAGGATGTGAGGGTGTGCAACAGAAGAGGCTGCCAGGACCCCCTTCTTGTCATCCCAGTCTTTGTCTCTCAGCTGGCACCATTATAGGCTGAGTCCTGATGACATGTGCCTTCCTCTCGGCCTTTGCTTGAGCCCTAGAAGGCTCTCCCTTACCCTCCTTCAAGGCCATCTCAGTTGAGCCCACTCGTGAAGCGTGTCCTGAGCTCCCAGCAAGTTCCTGTGTAAACCTCTGAGCTCATTTGCCTTCTGTGGCAGCTTGCTCAGATGGCCTCAGGTTGCTTATTTGTCTGTGTAAACATACATCGCCTAATGACTAGATCCTAAGACTCGCTATTTTCTCTTCTCAGTGATTCTGGAGGATAAGGCACACAATTTGGCACCTCTTTCTTAGCTCCAGAAGGCCCTTAAGAGAAGCATTTGCCAAATCTCTCCCTCTTCTAGCTGGTGAAACCAAAGCCATTAGACCTTAGTAAATCACTTAGGAGCACAGCTTGGACTTTGCAGTTCCGAGCAGATGTGTTCATTCCAGTATACTGAGCTCTTGAGCTTCAGTGCGCCCATCTATAATGTGTTGGTAGCAACATCTGTTTCACAGAGGGAAGTTGAACTACCCAGTGAGTTCCTGGAGAAGAAAAGGTTTATAATCTGGGACGTGGGTATGGGTCTCTGTCTTGATCGATTTTGTGTTGCTATAAAAAAATGCTTGAAGCTGGGTGCTTTATAAAGAGGTTTATTTAGGTCACGGTTTTGGAAACTGAAAGTTCAAGATTGAGTGGCCTCATCTGTTTGGTCTCTGGCAGGGACCTTCTGACTGTGTCATAATGTGGCAGAGAGATAGAAGGGGAAACAGCTGCATGCAGAGGGGCCATTGTATGAGGTGGCCTCACTTTATAACAGCTCGCTCTCTTGAGAACTAATCCAGTCCTGTGATCCCTAACTCACTCCTGTGAGACAGACATTATGAGGGCAGAACCTCCATAACCCAGTCTCCTTCCAATAGGCTTCACCTCTCAAAGCTTCCACCATTTTAGCACCACCACACTGAGGGCCAAGCTCCCCGCACATGAACCTTTAGGGGACAAAACACATCTGGAGCACAGCAGGGCAGGTCCTCTCCCTATCTGGGCAAGCTGACAGGAAACCAGAGTCGTAGGTGAGCACACTGAGAAGGTGAAGTTAGCTGCAGCCCGTTGGCCCATGCTGCCTACTTGAGGACCCTTAGCAAATTTAAGAAAGGGCCTTTTGAGAGGGTCTGCTGAGCTGGCTGCTGAGGGAGTCATTGATTTTCACAGGGCCTGGGAGATAATTGGATGTCATGGGAGTGTTTCTGGGGAGAATGGGGTAAAGGATAGGAAAGGAATGGGTGGCTTTGCCATTGACTTACTGCCTCATAATCTAAGCTCCTGCAAGTATTTACATCCACACCTAGCCTCTGACGTGAGGATCAGAGGGCTGGGGCTGGCCAGCAGGGCTCCTGGCACGGCTTTTTGTATACTCAGCTTATATCTCTAGCTCACTGAAAAGAGCCAGGCCTGGTTTCCATGGTGCCCTGCCCTGCCCTGAAGCAACTATCAACGCCTGTTGGTGTCACCTATTTTTAGCAGTTAGAACTGGGACCTCCCGTTTCCGTGTTAAAGAGGGATGCCATCCAGGGACCCACTCTGCAGATCACATGTTGGTACAGCTTAAAACAGGAATAGTGTGTGTTTTTACATATCAGAGCTTTCTGTCTGAGAGCCAGGTGCTGTGGTCTATACCCTCGCCCCCCTGGCTTTTACACCGCCTGGGCATGAAAGCTGCTGTTTGCTGAGATTCCTCCAACTCCTAGCCAGACACGGAACTAAAGGCTTTGCGTAACTCTTATCTAACATTCATCCTAGATCTGTAAAGCTGGCCATAAAGCAGACCCTTTTTACAGGTGACAAATCCGAGGTTTAGAGGTATTACAAATCTTGTAAAGGTTAAAGTAAGGACAAAGCCAGGAGTCATAACTTGGTATCCTTCCAAAGCCGAGCA